CCATTTTCATTATTACCATCTATATTACCATAATCATCATCAGTATTACTACATAAATCAGTGAAGACTACAATAACAATACTACTACTACTACTACTACTATTAATAATAATAATAATAACAACAATGATAATAGCAATAATAATAACAATAATAATAACAATAAAAATAACAATGATAATAACAATAATACAATGATATAATCCAATGATGGAATAAAACAATAATTATATAATGATAATAATAACAATAAGATAAAATGATAACAATGATTAAATAACACACATATAATTAACAATGATAAAACAATATATAGACAATGATAATAACAATAATAATAACAATGGATAATCCAATATAATAACAATGATATAACAATAATTAATGATATAACAAAATTAATAACAATGGTAATAACATAATAATAACAATGATGATATCAATTTAATGATAACAATGATAATCAATATGATAACGATAAGATAATAACAATAATAATAACAATATAATAACAATAATAATACAATAATAACAATAAACAAACATGGTAATAATATATAATAGCAGATTAATAACAATAATGTAACAATGATAATACAAATAATAACAATGATGATAACAATATAATAACAATATGATAACTGATAATAACATGATAATAAATATACAATGATAATAACAATAATGATAACAATGATAATAACAATAATAATAACAATGATGATAACAATAATAATAACAATAATAATAACAATGATAATAACAATAATGATAACAATGATAATAAAAATAATAATAACAATGATAACAGTGACAATAACAATAATAACGACGAAAATGATGATAACACCCAAACGACACTCCAGACATTATCTAACAAAGGATACGGCGATAAGGAGAGCGAAAGTGCTGAAGGAAAGGGAATAGTGACACTTACAAAGGAGTCCCCGTCAGTAACAGCAGGACGCGATCTTTTCATGAGCAAAAGCGTCAGCAGGAAGGAGGAGATTGGGAGGGAGGAGGGGGAAGGGAGAGGGGAGGGGAGGGGGAGGGAAGGAGAGGGAGGAGGAGGAGGGGTGGGAGAGGGGAAGAGAGGAGGGGAGAGGGCGGAGGGGAGGGAGGGGAGGGAGGGGGAAGGGAGAGGGAGGAGGGGAAGAGAGGGAGAGGGGAAGGAGGGGAAGGGGGAGGTGAGAAGGGAGGGGAAGAGGGAGGAGGGGAATGAGAGGGAGGGAGGGAAAGGGAGGAGGGAGAGGGGGATGGGAAGGGATGGCAGTTAGAGGCACAAATGGTTGCAATGAATTTCACGTCTTGCCAATAACGGCCAATTGGGGAGAAGATTAAGCAGCCTCGTCTCCTTTTCTAAAGACTGTGGGTTACTTGTTCCGTCAGCTTTATTTATTTATTTATCAACATCGTTATCTATTTCATTGTTTACTACCCAGTTGTCTGTTGGTTTGTGTATATTTGTTCTCGATATATCCTTTCTCTGTGTTTCTTCGTTTCAGTTTCTCTCTCTCTCTCTCTCTCTCTCTCTCTCTCTCTCTCTCTCTCTCTCTCTCTCTCTCTCTCTCTCTCTCTCTCTCTCTCTATCTCTCTCTCTCTCTCTCTCTCTCTCTCTTTTCTCTCTCTCTCTCTCTCTCTCTCTCTCTCTCTCTCTCTCTCTCTCTCTCTCTCTCTCTCTTCTCTCTCTCTCTCTCTCTCTCTCTCTTCTCTCTTCTCTCTTCTCTCTTCTCTCTCTCTCTCTCTTCTCTCCTCTCTCTCTCTTCTCTATCTATCTATCTCTTTATCTCTTTATCTCTCTCTCTCTCTACACCCCCACTCATCATCCAAAATTACTATAGAGCAAAAAGGACCCTCTTTACGGCCAGACTCTCCATACTCAACTCCTCTCTCTCTCGCGCCGCCGAATGAGTCTTGCAAAACCATTATGCAAATGCAACGTAAACATCGGCGCGTTGCGGATTAGCGCGGAAGGACGGAAGCTGCTGAAGTGGCGGAGATGTTGAGATTTGGAGGGGATGATGATGGTCATTGATACTTCTTGGTTGATGTGATTATGATAGTTAGTTGATATGATTATGGGTAATAGTTATTTTTATCGTTGTTATTATTATTGTTGTTTTTTATTACTATTATATATATATACATATATATATATATATATATATATATATATATATATATATATATATATATATATATATATATATATATATATATAAGAGAGAGAGAGAGAGAGAGAGAGAGAGAGAGAGAGAGAGAGAGAGAGAGAGAGAGAGAGAGAGAGAGAGAAGAGACGAATGAAGAGAGAAAGAAAGATAGCGAATATGTTGAGAGAGAAGAGAGAGAGATAGAGAGAGAGAAACTGAATGCAAAATGTACATACACACACGCCCCATGTTGATGCACACTTGCACGCACTCATTTGCATTCGTGGGTAGGAAATGTATATCTAACCGAAAAAAAAGTTAATTGGATTCATCGGAGGAAAGTGACATCA